ACAAGATTTCAAAGCTTATGATAATATTGTCACTAATTCAAATCTTCCTCAACATATATTCTTGCTCCTAGTATTAGGCATACAAATTACTGTTAGTTAATATTAACTTTTACTGATAAGTTAAAGTTAGTTAGTTTCAGTTATTTCATTGCTTAGTTTGGTAGTTACAGTATTAGTCAGTCTGTTAGTTTTCCCGCTCCTACTGTATCAGCTTCGTTTGTATAGCTGCTGCATATATAAGTGAGCAATGTACAGTTTTCTCATTATTCAATTCAATGGAATATTCAGCTTTATTGCTTTCTATGATGGTATCAGAGCCTCATCGTCCCTCGCTTTAAAAAGTGGAATTAAAATAAAAAAAAGAAGCACAAAAAGGTAAACCAAAAATGGGCCTGTGCAATTCCACGTTTCTAGCCCAAAGTGCTCTTGCGTGAGGGGCGCTTTAAAAAGTGGAATTAAAATAAAAAAAAAGAGCACAAAAAGGTAAACCAAAAATGGGCCTGTGCAATTCCACGCTTCTAGCCCAAAGGGCTCTTGCGTGAGGGGGCGTGTTGAGATAAAAAGTCCCACATTAATTAGATGGGCAACTAATATGACCTTTATAAGGCCTTGGGCACTCCTTGGTACAAATTGAGAGGTACAAGGCTCGCTTGGTAGCCAAAGGATATAATCAACTTGAAGGTCTTGATTTCCTTGAAACATTTTCTCCAGTTGTGAAGATAACTACTGTCAGAATCCTATTATCCATAGCTGTGGCCAAAGGCTGGCATTTGGAACAGCTTGATGTGAATAATGCATTTCTCCATGGTGACTTGGATGAGGATGTCTACATGATTCTGCCTCCTGGAGTCAGTAGCAACAAATCCAATCACGTATGCAAGCTCAACAAATCTTTATATGGCCTTAAACAGGCTAGTAGACAATGGAATGCCAAGTTGCTTTCATCTCTATTCACTCTTGGCTATCATCAATCTGCAGCAGATCCATCTCTATTAATAGGTCCTCTTCTCATTCTTTCACAGCATTATTGATTTATGTTTATGATATTGTACTCAATGGGAATGACATCCAAGAAATTGATCGAGTAAAACATCATCTTGATGCTGCCTTTCGAATAAAAGATCTGGGCCATCTCAGATTTTTCCTTGGTTTTGAGGTTGCTAGATCCTCATCAGGCTTGATTATTAATCAAAGGAAATACGCATTGGAACTTATTGCTGATGCTGGTCTCCTTGCTTCTAAGCCAGCTTCCACTCCTATGGATCCCTCAGTGAAGCTACAGAAAGAACATGGTAATCCTTACTCAGACATTGCTGCATATCGAAGATTGGTTGGCAGATTATTGTATCTCACCAATACCAGACCTGATATAAATTTTGTTGTTCAACAGCTTACTCAGTTTGTAGCTAAGCCTATGGAGACTCATTATCAGGCTGCTGTTCGAATCCTAAGATATCTCAAAGCTTCTCCATCAAAGGGATTATTTTTCCCTGTGCAAAATGATCTCACTCCATCCGGTTTTGCTGATGCCGACTGGGCATGCTGCATTGATACTCGACGTTCTGTCTCTGGCTTGAGTGTCTTCTTATGATCTTCTTTTGTTTCATGGAAGACTAAGAAGCAAACAACCGTTTCTAGATCATCCTCCGAAGAAGAATACCGAGCTTTAGCCAATTTGGCTTGTGAACTTCAATGGATCTCGTTCCTCCTTCGTGACTTACAGCTTCCGCTTACCAAATCCATCCCTGTGTTTTGTGACAGCCAGTCAACTATCTACCTTGCCCATAATCCCACATTCCATGAAAGAAGTAAGCACATTGACATTGATTGTCATGTCATTCGAGAACGCATTCAAGATGGTCTCATTCACCTTCTTCCAATACGTTCTTCATTGCAAATTGCTGACTTCTTTACAAAGGCTCTACCGATTCCCCAGTTTCAGTTGTTGATTTCCAAGTTGGGTTTAAAAGATATATTACTCCCAACTTGAGGGGGGGTATTAGGCATATAAATTACTGTTAGTTAATATTAACTTTTACTGATAAGTTAAAGTTAGTTAGTTTCAGTTATTTCATTGCTTAGTTTGGTAGTTACAGTATTAGTCAGTCTGTTAGTTTTCCCGCTCCTACTGTATCAGCTTCGTTTGTATAGCTGCTGCATATATAAGTGAGCAAAGTACAGTTTTCTCATTATTCAATTCAATGGAATATTCAGCTTTATTGCTTTCTATGACCTAGTATTAAATCAATGTGATAGGAGCTCCTTATTTGTTTGTTACCCGAAGTAGTCAATTTGATGACTTATGTTGAGATATATAGTCTCACATTGATTGTATGAGCAATTACTGTGGAGTTTATAAGGCCTTGGGCATTCTCACCCTTTGAGCTAGCTTTTGGGGTGGTGTATCCCAAGGTTCTTTAACATGGTATCAGAGCCACATGTTCGATCCTCACCGCCCCCCACTTTAAAGTGGAATTAAAATAAAAAACACAAAAGGTAAACCAAAAATTGGGCCTGTGCAATTTCCACGCTTCTAGCCTAAAGGGCTCTTGCGTGAGGGGGTGTGTTAAGATATATAGTCTCACATTGGTTGTATGAGCAACTAATGTGAAGTTTATAAGGCCTTGGGCACTCTCACTCCTTGAGCTAGCTTTTGGGGTGGTGTATCCCAAGGTTCTTTATTGTTGGGATATTCAAGTGTGATGAGTCTCACATTTGTTGATAATGTGCTAAGTGAAGAGTATATAAGTGGATGGACCCATGAACCCAATGCATTAAGGTTTTGGGTTGAGATGTGGTGTTGGACTCACTTGGTGTATTTCGTCCACTTAGCTCATTGGTGGTGGCCCCCGCCACGGGCTTCTCCCTGGACCCGCCTCACAGTGGTATCAGAGCCGGGTTGTGCTAGAGCTAGCCTGATGATTGGCTAGGAGGCGGGTTGAGTACTTTGCGCTTGGGGTACTCGGTTGAGGGGGGCAAATCAATGGTGGGTTTCACACTTGAGGGAGAGATTGTTGGGATATTCAAGTGTGATGAGTCTCACATTGGTTAATAATGGGCTAAGTGAAGAGTATATAAGTGGATGGACCCATGAACCCAATGCCTTAAGGTTTTGGGTTTAGATGTGGTGTTGGACCCACTTGATGTATTTCGTCCACTTAGCTCATTGGTTGTGGCCCCCGCCACGGGCTTCCCCCTAGACCCGCCGCACGACTTATTCAATGCCTTTACTTTAAAATTTAGTCTCACTTGTCCACGGTTGTAAACATCATTTTTATTTAAGAAATTAGTCTCAATTATGTTTGGTTGCACGTAAGATTTTTATTTAGCAACATATCTGCATGAAGCTACTTAATTAAGCTTATATAAACTAATATGTATGTATTTGTTCTACTCCCGATTTATTTTGACGCTTGTTTAAATTTTTTTTCTTTTGATTGTGTTTTTATAAAAATAAAAATCCACAGGTAGGTGGAGAAGGATCACTTCCCCCAGAAGGTACTTAATTGTAAACTTCCGATGAATTAATAAACACTGATGACCCGCCAAAAAAAATATCACTTAATATCAGTTGATTTAAGTGTAGCCTTCATGGCTCCTGTAAACAATTGAGTTTCATAATATCAGTTAATGTTATAAAATATTAATGGATCTTTCACAACAAGTTTTTCTTATCAAGTATTATTATATTAATATCATTAAGAGTATATGAAAGTAGTGTAACTCTTCTACCTTAACTAGAGGAAAGAAGATCGATGATCCATTGATAAATATTTAAATGGCGGTTAGGAAAGGTGTGTAAAAGAACCAAAAGAAATGAATTATATTATGAACTGAACTGCACACAATTAAAAGAATTGATTTTTGCTTACAAAAAAAAAAATTTATTTTTTAGAATCAGTTCATGAACCCAATTAGTTTTTTTTTTTCTTTTTTTCTCTTATTTATTTATTGTCTTTTTTTTTTTACTTTATCTTTATTTTTATTTCTTTATTTCTTTAATTTTCACTTTTTTTCTTTTATCTCTTTTGTATTTTTCTCTATTATTTATTTTTGTCTTTCTTTTTAATTTTTTTAATTTCTAATATCATTTGTATTTTTTTTATTTTTTTTTATCTTTTTTCTCTCTGTATTTTTAATTTTGAGTTCAAAATTGGGTTCAGAACTAGTTATGTTCATAACCAATTATAAACTAGTTATAAAAGTTATAAACTGATTGGAAAAAAATAAATCAATTAACTGAATTGGTTTTTCTGGTTTAATTTAGTTTAACAAAAAAAAAAAAAATCCAACCAAATTGAACGATACATACCCTTATATTGAAAAGTGAATGGGGCTTAACCACCTTTGGCTCCACCATTGTCTTTAATGTGACTTCATTATTAATGCATAAAAAGACTAATTAAATTTTTTAAAATTTTATTAGTATATAATTATTAATTCTAAGACTTAATTTATGCCAAAATATATTAAAAGACTAAATTTATGTATATTTAAGACATTAAAAATTAAATGCACACCCAAATATAAAAGATTTAATGATTTATCATTTGTTGTTATGATGTCATCCGCATGCGATTTTACATTTTTATCATGTTTAATGTTAAATTTTGAATTCGTCAGTATTTTATTTCTAAAAATAGTTTTTAGAATATTTTTAATTTTTAATTTTAATTTTTTTTTTGTGCAGAGGGAGGGCATAGGCCTAATTTTACAATTTTATTTTGTTATTATTATTTATTTCAGTGTTGCGACACGCGGGCGCGTTTGAACTGAACTAACTAGAGGGCGCTGGTGTTGGCGCCTAGATGAGTCTGTTTGCTAGCCTATATATATAAGAGCAATACCAGTCCCTCCCCCTCACTTACTAGCATTTGAAATTCTGAGGTGTTGCATTCTCTTCATTCTCACTTTTATCACAATCCTTGAATCTCACGAATCCACTTCACAAGAAGAAGAAGAAGAAGCTGCTTAGGGTTTGCCCAATGAGAAATCGAAGAATGAACTGGGAAGACGACGAGTACGATGAGGAGTACGAGGAGGGAAGAGGCCGCGGCAGGAAGCGGGGAAGATGTGATGTTAAACATTTGTTGGACGATGAGGCAGAGGTTGATTCCGAAGTCGAAGATGAAGACGACGATCAAGAAATCGATGATGGTACGTTTCTTTTTTCCTTTTTTTCTCTCTCAATCAGTCAGGATAAACTACTGTTTTGAAATCAGGATTGGAATTGATAAATTAGGGTTTATGCACGTGATTGATCAGTTGTTATGACTCAGGCTCTAAAGTCTAAAGTAAAATATGTATGCAGATAAGTTTACAATCGTCTGAAACATGCAGATTTCATTGTTGAGGGTGGAGCTGATCTACCAGAGGAAGATGATGATGATGATGGTGGGAGGATGCGTAGTGGTAGCCGCATGCTGCCACATTTCCAAGAAGATCATGAAGATATTGAAGCTATGGAAAGAACAATTCAGGAACGATATGGGAGGTATTTGACTGATTATGATGAAGAAACTCAAGATATAGTAGAACAGCAAGCTCTTTTGCCATCTGTGAGAGATCCAAAGCTTTGGATGGTCAAATGTGCGGTATGATTCTTGTCAATGTTTGTGATAATAATTTCTTTGCTCTGGCAAGTATACCATATTATATTCTTTTGTTTATTTATGTTCATTGTTAGATTGGTCGTGAGCGAGAAACAGCTGTTTGTCTCATGCAAAAGTACATGTCTGACTCTGAATTGAGAATCTTGTCAGCTATTGCTCTCGATCATCTCAAAAACTATATATATGTGGAAGCAGATAAAGAAGCCCATGTCAGAGAGGTATTGTCATGTTAAATGTCTGTTGTTCATCATAATTGTCTTTATGGATTAAATTGTGAAGCTTATTTTATTTTTTGCACATGTTTCAGGCTTGCAAAGGTCTAAGCAATATATTAGGCCAAAAAATTTTGCTTGTTCCCATCAGAGAAATGACTGATGTTCTGTCAGTTGAAAGCAAATCTGTTGATCTTGCCCGAGATACTTGGGTCAGAATGAAGATTGGGACTTATAAAGGGGACCTTGCCAAAGTATGCATCTCATTCTAGAAAAACTATAATACTGTTCTGTTTGCTTTCTTTATTTACCATGAAATATCTCTTCTACAGGTAGTAGATGTGGATAGTGTGCGACAGAGGGTTACTGTGAAACTGATTCCGCGCTTAGACTTACAAGCCCTTGCAAACAAATTGGTATGAAATGTTTCAGTGTCTTGTTTAATTCATGCTTTATAGTTGTCCGACATTTAACTTTCTTGAGTCCCTATTTTTGTGCAAAACACATGTATCATGCAGGAAGGTAAGGAAGTTGTGAAAAAGAAGGCATTTGTTCCTCCTCCTCGTTTTATGAATGTTGACGAAGCTAGGTATTTCGGATTCTCGCCTTTCTATTACTGAATGTCTCTGTTTCTTGAAAACTTTCGAGTTGCTGGTATGTTTAGAATTTATGGTTTCTGTTCAGGGTGCTGCATATCCGTGTGGAGCATAGATATGATGCCTATGGGGAGCGATTTGTTTCCATTGGGGGCATGATGTTCAAAGATGGATTCTTATACAAAACCGTATCTAGAAAATCTATTTGCGTCCAGAATATCAATCCAACATTCGATGAACATGAGAAATTTGGTAAACTGGGTGAGACTAGAGATGCAGATATTTTGTTTGCAAATAGAAAGAAAGGAAATTTTATGAAAGGATCATCTGTCATTGTTGTTAAGGGAGATTTAAAGAACATGAAGGGGTGGGTGGAGAAAGTTGATAAAGATAATGTTTATGTAAGACCAGCAATTAAGGGTCTCCCAGTAAGTATGAATTGATAATTGACTGTTTTCCTTCCCTAGAAAGTCCGTAAGTTTTGCATGTTTTCCCGATGATCTAATTTTTATTTTTATTTTTCATTTTTTCAGAATATTGTTGCTGTAAAAGAAAACGAACTTTGTAACTATTTTGAACCCGGAAACCATGTTAAGGTTGTTTCTGGTGTTCAAGAAGGTGTTACTGGCCTTGTTGTGAAGGTGGAGCAGAATGTCATTATCTTAATATCAGATTCAACAAAAGAACATGTGAGTTTTATTGTCCATTTTGTTAGAAAATAATATAAACCATTAAAAAGGTCATCACCCAATAGCTTAAGCTTTTGAGTTGAATTGGTTCTTTACATAGTATTAGAGCTTTAGCAACCACGAGATCATAAATTTGATCCTCACCGCCTCCCACTTTTCTAGTAGAATTAAGTAAAGCACAAGCTAAACAAAAAATTAGGCCTGCAATATCCACTCTTCAAGCCCAAAGCGAAGACCCTCACCTAATAGCTTAAGCTTTTGTATTGAATTTGCTCTTTACACCTTTACTGAAGGGCTTGTGAATTTCTACTTGTTTTTAGTGCTGAAATGATATAGAAATATCCTCTCTGCAGATCCGTGTGTTTGCAGATGACATCACGGAGTGCTCTGAACCGACAGCTTCAATTATACCAGCTCATATTCCACAGTCCCCACAGAGGTTTTCTCGACAAGGGCCTCCAATTGATTGTATGTGTGAATCTTTCTTTATACTATATGTTGGAATATTGAATCAGTCTATGATTTTGTTTTACCTTTTTTAAAAGAAACTTGCCCAATGTCCATTTTTTTGGATGTGATATAGCTGGAAGAAAGCATAAGGGTGGAAGGAGGAAGGATGGTTTGGCAGGTGCAACTGTGAAAGTACGCCAGGGTCCCTATAAAGGTTCTCGAGGGCGTGTTATAGGAGTTAAAGGCACATTAGTTCGGATTGAATTGGAGTCCCAGATGAAGGTTGTGATGGGTAAGTCTTGTAATTAGTACAAATACCTGAGCTGCATGTACTATTGTATTTGTGTGGTCTCTAACTTGGGTATATGCAGTTGACCGCAACCATATATCTGACAATGTGGCTGCAACCGCATCTCGGTAAGTTATATGTAACATATAATTTATGATCCTTATATGCATCGCAAAATATTCAACCATCTGACTCTCGTGTTCTGCCAGTGACACATCTCAATATGGGATGGGAAGTGAAACCCCAATGCATCCTTCTCGAACTCCCTTCAATCCATATATGACTCCTATGAGAGATCCTGGAGGTATGTTTGATTTGACTTGATTTATTTTTATAGGATTGGCACTTGAGTCTCTTTTTTGTACTCTCTGATTTGGTTTTTTTTTTTTTAGTATTCTGTTTTAATAGTCGGATTTCTTCCTTCCGATTTGTATGCTGTTAACTCGCTTTGAGTGAATTATTTTGACCCCAAAAAAAATGAAAGTATTGACTTAATTTTGAGCTTAACTGGAGAATCTAATATTCATGGTTGAAATGTGAAATTCCCTGTTACGTAAATGTAAAAGCTGTGGGAACAACCTTCATGGATTTTATAAAATAAAGTAAGCAATTTCCCTTGTGAATGCAGCTACAGACATTTAAAAAACTGAGAAAGAGGTGGATGACATGGCTACTTAAGAGATTGGTACGAACCCAATTAGACAAGTATATAGAAGAAACAAAAAAAGAAAGAATTGGGCTGAAAGGGATGTTATGGGCCCAAACATAAAGGAAGGCGTGATTGAACAAGGAAACCCAAGTGGGAAGACTGTGGGTGAGGTGGCTGGCCCAGATATGCTAGATGACCAAAGTAGCCCCCTAACAGAATGCTGGCGTGGCAGAGCAAGGTGAGGATGCGAGGTCATTACGCGGGTGTGGTTAAGAGGAGCTGGGTAAGGGTGGAGGGAGACACCTGGGGAGATAATTGTGGATTGGTGCCTTTGGGAGAGAATGAGACCTCTCTAACAGTCTCACACTATCTTTTACTGCATTGCCTTTACATTCGTTGTAGTTGTTTCCTTTCATTGCAATTCTGGATTATCTGTAATGGTGATTATGTCAATGTTAGGTTGTAATTGTCTTTCCTTTCCATAAATATATGAAAAATTGGTTTATTCAGGCCAATATTCCTAGTTCCTTTGTTGTTATTTGTCTCTGAGATTGAAGGTTCGTAACAAATTGGTATCAGAGCTCTGATCTTGGAGCTCTGTGGTATGGTAATCACGAGAAGTATGGAAAGTCGCTTAGAAATATTAGAAGAAGGGCTGCGCAGGAACAATACAAGACAAGATGAGGTTATTCAGAGGCTTGAATCGAACGAGACAGGTATAGCAGAAATTATAAGGAGACTAGATGTTTTGACTCGAAGAAGGAGGAGTCGTTCTCGTGACGAGGAAGACAAGTATGATGATGGAGCTTCGGATACGAATGGACGGAGGAATGGCAGAAGGCTGAACCCAACAAATTCAGGAATCAGGCGTTTGGAGATTCCGTTATTTTTTGGTGACGACGCGTTTGGGTCGGTCAACAAAGTGGAGAGGTACTTTACTGTAAATAGCGTGATGGAGGCGGAGAAGGTAGCGGCAGTAGTGGTGGTGCTGGAAGGAGAGGCCCTACATTAGTACCATTGGTGGGAGGTTAATAATCCTAATGCTACTTGGGCTGTTTTTCGGCGAGAGTTGCTCAGTAGATTTCAACCGGAAGCTTTGGAAAATCCGTACAGGGCTCTGTACACGCTCAAGCAAGAGGGAAGCATCGTTGAGTTTCGAGCGGAATTTGAGAAGATGGTTGGAGCGCTGCATTTTAGAGATGAGGATTTACTTAAAGGGGCTTGGCTTAATAGAGTGAATAGCAGCATCAGGGAGGAGTTGTTAATGTATCCAGCACTGAGTCTGAACGATATGGTGAAATATTCCCTGAAAATCGAACGAAGAAACGCCGCTTGGGTTGAAGAAGGAATTGGTCCGCTGGGAAAGTCATGGATGTAAGGCCCCAACCACATGCATATGGGCCAATTGATGGGAATAGGCCCAAATGAGACAAAAAAAAGCGAGCACTCAGGTTTGGGCTCATCTAATTTGCCCAACCCAAACCAAAACAACCTAACCACACACTCAAACCAAACCAATGTTATAAAAACCGGACCGATCCGGCCGGGTCGACCCGGAAATCGGTGAACCGGTCATGTAACCGGTACGATTTTCATATTGGACCGGTCATGTTACAGAACTGGTGTGACCCGGTGCGACCCAGCCGGTTTTCGTAAAAACCGGTGACCCGGTCGGTTCAACCGGTGACCCGGCTCGTTCTATAAAAATTAAAAAAATAATAATTTATTTTCATAAATTAATGTCTTCTTTTTTTTACTCTCAAACACAAATGATTTGTTTTCTTTAGAAATATTTGAGTGATTTGTAGCTTATTAACTTACATAGATTATGTACCTACAATACTAATATTATCTTGATTATGCAATATGCAGGGAATTTTGATTTGATTTATAGTTAGAAATGTTGTTTACTGAACCTGAAACCTAGTATCACAAATATTATATGTTTGATTGATCTTTTGTTGGACAATGATGTGTAATTTATTATTTTCATATTAAAATATTTGAAATTGGTATTTTTTTTACAAGTATTTAAGTATATTTATAGTTTTTTTTAATATAAATAGTAGATTTACATATACTTACCGGGTCATGCGGTTGAACCAGTGACCCACTAGTTAAACCAGTGACCCAATGACCCAGTACCTCGACCGGGTCAATAACTGGGCCGAGTTTAATAACATTGTCCAAACCTCAGGACTTTTGTTCAAGAGAAACATTCCCCATTTCCACAATCATGGAGCGCCTGATTTGTTTGAAAAGTTTTACCAAAAGCAACACAAGCACATTTTTTAAACAATGATTTTTGTGAAAACAGGGATAGCATCCACAAACACTGCACTTGGAAGAGCTTTAAGAGACTACCCATCTATTTCACCTCTGTTTATGTTTCTAGAATCCTCAGCCACTACAGACTACTTGACACATGCCCCATAAAAGACCAAAAACTTTACAAGTGACTAGCAAACAAAACTGCATCAAAGCAGGAACGAGATTATCTCTTTTGATGCACAAAATATTGCTCATGAATTTCCAAGAAACCAAATAGGGTATCACATAAAGGATAGTCCATCAATTCACCGGTCACCACCACTGTTGAAACAGTCTATGGTCTATTTTATCAGATTTTATTTTATTTCCAAATATTTTATCTAATTAATATCATGAAAAATACGTGAAAAAAGTGCACATTCAAATCGTACATGAAAATGCATGCGCACACTGTTGAGATATATAGTCCCACACTGATTGTGTGGGCAACTAATGTGGCCTTTATAAGGCCTTGGGCACTCCCTCCCTTTGAGCTAGCTTTTGGGGTGGTGTATCCCAAGGTTCTTTACACACACTGAAGTGATATGCTATTTGAGTGTTAACATGCATATATATCAGGCACACATTTACTCATATATCGGTAAACACACAGGTGCTCAAACCATTTCTAGACAATCATCAGACTAGTTCAAGTTTAATCCGACTCTGATACCATTACCAAACATGCCTACAAGAAGTTCGTGATGAGAAACCACCACCAATAGATTAAAATTATACCACCATATCAAGTGAGGAACGCTGGAACCCGAACCACAAGTGTCGGGTACCCCAGCTCCATCTGTTGTTGGTCGACGACACTGACGAAGACGAAGGAGGGAGAGACGACGATGGGTTGTTGACGCCATTAAACTCTGAAGGAACGGAGACGGAGAAACCACTACAGCTATCGATGAACAGTATGCTAGGGCTCACTTCAAGCCAATCTTTGAAGGTTTGGGGGGAGGTTCGAGGACAAAAGGTGGTAGTCATGGTGAATTGTGGTGCTTCAAGCAGCTTCGTGCGAAGGGCTATAGTGGTGCAACTAAGTTTGAGGGTTACTGAGACGTCCTTGTATCAAGTAGAGGTGGGGAACGGCCACAAGGTCAAATGTCAGGGAGTTTGCGAAGGGGTAGAGCTCAAAATTCAATCAGCTTAGATTAAACAAGATTTGTACCTTTTCAAACTTGGGGGAGCTGATGTGGTACTAGGACTGGACTGGTTGACACAACTGGGGGAAATAAAAGTGAACTTCAAAGAGCTGACACTCCGTTTTGGGAAGGGAGGCTCAGAGGTAACAATCAAGGGAAACCTGTCTCTGTCCAGATCAGAAGTCTCATTCAAATCAATCGTGAAAGCACTACAGGATCAAGGGCAAGGGTATTTCTTAAGCACTACAAATGAGTTAAATGAAGGAGGTGGGTGTACATAGGATGACATGGAAGCCTTGTTATTGGAATTTCAGGATCTTTTTCAGCAAGCACAATCATTATCGCCCAAGAGGACCTGCGATCATGCTATCAACCTTGTACCACGGAGCCAGGTGCCTAACCTTCGTCCTTTCAGGTACCCTCACTACCCAAAAAATGAGATAGAAAATTTAGTTTCTGAGCTGTTAAGTAATGGGTGGATACGACACAGTACCAGTCCCTACTCCAGCCCTGTGATATTGGTAAAGAAGAAAGACGGAAGTTGGCGTGTGTGTGTTGATTACAGGGCTCTCAATAAATTTATTGTGCCCGACAAGTTCCCAATTCCTGCAGTGGAGGAACTTTTAGACGAATTGGGGGGGTCCGAGGTCTTTTCCAAGTTGGACCTCAAATCTGGGTATCACCATATAAGGATGAAGGATGAGGATATACCAAAAATAGCGTTTAGAACGCACGAAGGGCATTATGAATATTTAGTAATGTCTTTCGGTTTGACTTATGCCCCATCAACATTCCAGGCGTTAATGAATGAGATTCTTAGGCCTTTTCTGCGAAGGTTTGTATTGGTATTTCTAGACGACATACTAATTTATAGTTGGTGTAAGGAGGATCATCTGGAGCATTTGAGGAAGGTGTTCGAAGTATTCAGGCAGCATCAATTGGTGATCAACAGAAAGAAGTGTGATTTTGGTAAACAACATGTGAAGTACTTGGGACACATAATTTCAGCAGAGGGGATTAGTACCGATCCAAGTAAATTAGAAGCTATGGAGCGATGGCCAGTACCCAAAGATATCAGGAGCTTAAGGGGATTTTCGGGATTGACCGGATACTGCAGACGATTTGTAAAAGATTATGGTAAAATAGCTAAACTGTTGATGAACCTGTTGAAAAAGGATGGTTTTAAATGGAGTCTAGAAGCAGAGGAAGCCTTTAATCATTTGAAGAACAACATGTGCACTGTTTCGGTTTTGGCATTGCCGGATTTTTAGAAGCCTTTAATTGTTTGTACGGACGCATCAGGCAAGGGAGTAGGGGCGGTCCTAATGCAAGAAAGCAGGCCTTTAGCTTACATCAGTCAAGGATTTTCTCCTAAGGCACAAAGCAAATTCGTGTATGAGAAAGACCTAATGGCTATGTGTTTGCAATTCAGAAGTGGAAACATTACCTAATGGGAAGGCATTTTATTGTGAAAACAGATCAGAAAAGCATGAAGCATCTATTGGAGCAGAAGTCATTGGGAGAGGATCAACAAAAATGGATTTCCAAGTTAATTGGATATGAATT